AGGCATGGTACCTAGAATTAAAACAATCTACCCTAGGGGACTAAATAAAGAGTTTGGTTCAAAATTCCATTGTATATCACCTGGAGAAGACCGCAGAGTTGAAACGTCGTGTATAAGATGAGAACGACTGTCTGAAAAATGTAAATAGCGTAAATATTTTACAAGAAAGTCGACTGTAATTTCGACCCTTATGAGGATAGTTAGGTATGTAAACTACTTTACTCACTGTTACGGAACAATGGCCGCAACACAAAATTTTAAAAGAAGAGATAAAAAAAAAATTCAACTTGTTGTCAAAGGATATGATCAAGGTTTACCATTCCGTAATGGACAGATTCTCTTACAGGGACAAATATACAAATGAGGAGAAACAACCAACCCCAACGAACACCAATATATAATTTAATAATAATAATAATTATAACAAGACGATGTATGAAAACTTTAATGCATGATGTTGCGTGGAAAGATGTTTGCTATACATTTCTGCATGGAAAGATGTATTCGTTATATATCTGATATGAATAGTCAAAACGCACTTTAGTCATTCGCCTAAAATAAAGTAGAGTTTTCTTTTTTCCTTTTCTCTCTCTTTTGTTTTATATTTCTCTTTTGTTCCTTTTACTTTCAGTTCAGTTCGTTTCGCCCATGCAACGATTTTGGTACATTATTCTTTCTTCACTGTTATGAGTTTTGACCCCGTTGTCTTCTCGACGGTTTGGTAATCCGCCTAGATTGGCAGCCACACAGTTTGATATTCAGTGTAGTCCTTCTCCCAGACTGGATGTTCTGCTATTTAACCCTAGAGAGGACAGGTTCTTGCCTTTCCGAAGAGTATTAGTGAACGCTACAGATTATAGCGAAATTGCTTTCTGCCCCAATAAGAGTTACACTACCCACCTCATCCTACAAGAACAGATTATTAACTCCGAATAACAGGAAAATCACAAATAGGACATGCCAATACGTAATGTATAAATAAAGACTGTGTTGTGAACTTATTTTTATCAGACAAGTTAATGGCACTATGTTGCTTCCAATCCTTTAGGAATGACTTCAAAAACAGCCCCTCCCCTAATTTATGCACAAAACATAGAGATGTATGGGATTTCTTCCTGGCATACAAGACAGGCGACTTTTAAGCTTCATCCGCCATATTTCTGTACATGTCTATCCATTTGTGTGTTGACACCATTCTTAGTTTGGGAACCTTTTTTTGCTTCATTACTGTTGCTTTACCCACTTTTCTCAGCATATATTGTTTGTTTAGTATTATTTTTGTCTATTCTTTTCTTTCTTTTGTTATTATTTATTGCAAACTTTGTTATTTCTATTTTCTGCTGTTTTGTCAATACTAAATACAAAACAATTCATTATTTACATTATTCGGACTATAGTCCTCATCTATGTCGCCATATTTATTACAACGTTTCGGCCGTTGTACGCTCCGGCCTTCTTCAGGACACATGGCACAGTGGATAAAGGCGTTAGTTAGATCCAGTGACAGGACCCAAAGAGTGTGAGTTCAATATCCGGCTAAGGCAGTGGAGAACTTGGAGAGGTAAATTAACAGGAGATCACTGATAATTGACATCCATTAAACATGGCACGTGGAACTAGAACAGTCTACCCCAGTGAGCGAAATAAAGGGTTCAGTTCGACATTCCAACCACCTGAAGAAGGCCAGAGCGTACAACGGTCGAAACGTTGTAATAAATATGGCGACAAAGATGAGGACTATAGTCCGAATAATGTAAATAATGTACATAATACCTCATCTCAGAAATATAGACAGATATAAATCAATTCATTTAATTTTTTTAAATGTAGGAGCTTTTCCATAAAACAGTATTAAACTGACTAAATACAAAACCCTTAAAATAAAAAATGTAGCAACTGTTTTTTACAGCACATTATTTTCGAGTGAACAGAATTACATTATCAAATCTTTAACCTTAACTTCTAACTGATGTGATGACGAACCACAATTTGGCTGTGTAAAACATCTTTACTCTCTGAGCCGCTTCACCTGTTATTTCTTGCCGAATTTTGAATATTTAGGAATTTTGTAAATGAACACGTTTACTTCAGCAAGAATACTGAAAAAAAGAGAAGATTAAACAGTCGAAAGTCTGGATGACCCCACCTTGGTTTGCAACCAAGATAATAAAACAGCAATGTTAGTTAAAGAACTTGCATTTTCGACAAATGAGTCATACGAGTCACACCAACCGACGAAGTTTTCGATTACTAAAGAATCGTAACAGAATCTTTTTTTGCTGTTCGTAAAATTTTCTTGAATTTAATTAAAGCAGAAAGTGTTTTGTAAAGATAGATTTTATTTAAAATTTATTATGAGACAGATACAAAATTCCAGCTCAAAATTTTTGTTTTTATAAATTTGATTCTGAACGCGTGCACACACACACACACACACACACACACACACACACACACACACACACACACATGAGATGGTATCGGAAAGTGCTTATACGCTTCAACGGAAATTGCTGCATCTAACGCTTATTAATACCCAAGCTATTGATGACTCAGTAGGCTGGGTATTAATAAAGGCATTGTGCATTCTATTTGTGCTCAATTATTACGTGAAGTTTTGTAACGTGGCGTCGGAACGGCTCTGCAATCTTTACTATGTTTAACAAGTTCAGGCAACGTAGCTACATCAAATTTTGCATGAAGCTCGGAAAAATCTACTACCGTGACACTTGAAATGATTTGTCAGGCTTCTGGAGAATATTCTTTCGTTCAAGCGCAGGCTTTTGAATGGAAGGAGCGTTTCAAAGCAGATCGAGTGTCGCTTCAAAGATGAGTCTTTCAAAGTGACTAATCAACGGAAAAATACCAGAAAATGTGTAAAAATCGTGAACAAGGCCGTTGCTGAAAAACCCATCAGCTCTCTCGCATGATTCTCATGAGAGGAGTTTGCCAGGAGTCCAATAGCTTTCCTTACCACCTATTTATACACACACAACCCCCCCCACATATATATATATATATATATATATATATATAGAGAGAGAGAGAGAGAGAGAGAGAACGAAAGAAGGAGAGTGAGCACAGGGATCAACACTGCATGGTGACTATCATTTTCACGCTCCAAATCGATCTTCAGGCCAAGAGTCTTTAGTGGGGTGTATATACGGGTTATATGGTGAATTAAGGATCCAGTTTTGTGTCACGCGTTCGTTGAAAGTTCTTGTGCCTTCTCCATCATTAATTTCTTTTGCCACTACCCTTGCATCCAGATCTTTTTTTCTACAGGTGACGTAAAATGGCTCTTATTGCACTTTTTCACCATTCATTATCAAAGCTGTAAAATAAAGAATAAACTATTAATGTTTATATGTTATATATGAAAATGAAGACTAAACAAATCAGCAACGATTGAACAAGTATCAAATTAATGATATAACATGGAGATATAAAAATCATTAGTGAAAATCTGAAAAACTTTTGACTCAACCTAGTAAACAGGTAATGAAAACTGAAGGATGTACAAGTGAAAATTTTACAGAAAGAAAACGCAAAGATGATTACGCTTATCTTTAGTCCTGATAATAATCATCTTGCAAAAGCAAATTAAATATCGTTCGAAAAGATTGACAGTTTTTAAAATGGCATTGCAATGACGATTGTCATTGACATCTTAAGAAGTTATATTAATTTTTCGCCGAATTCGATTTCATTTCATCTTCTTCTTTCCATATTTTTATTTTTGTGTCGTGTATTTATATAACAGAAAACTATGTAGCACAAATAGTTTACTAGTATTAGAGCGATAACGATATGTGTGCTCGTGAATATATAAGCGCTCTTCTATGCGTATGTATGTGAATGTATATTTCTGTTGGTTTCACTGCTTTAACAAATATTAAATAAATCGTTTGAGATTTAACCTACTCGTTTGTCCAAACGATGTTAGATCGATGACTTGGCCTCAATTCCGGTAGACTAGCCATTTGAGGAATTTGTGGTTGGGAGTGACATGTTGATCATTGCTAATGAATTCGATCCTAGTTAGCTTGTCAGAAACTGCTGTATTGTATCGGATAAATTTTATAAATATCTGCTCGATTGATGATTTGTGTTTTTTTTTTTTTATTTAATCGCCAAAACATGACAAAGATAGTTACATTAGAGAGACAGTTCTAGTATGATTACTATTGAATACTTAAAGTAGAATTAATATAGCCTTAGATATAGAAGACTGAAATATATTTGGATAAAAACACTTTTAACTTATGATCAACTCTTATTAACGTTCTGTTCCTATGTCAGCATTTCGGTATATGTTCGATGTGAACTTTGAAAAGTTTCACACGTTATCATAAAAATATCAACATTTTAATAAATGAATTATTTGTGAGGATCATTTTTCCTTTACAACCGAAGTTAAATACTTTTTCGTGCATAAATGCAACTTCGCTGGTTCATTGGCGCTTTTTAAGATCACTGCATTAATAGGGTCAATAAAAAAATAATAGGGACAAAAAATAATAGGGACAATAAAAAATAATAGATATAATAAAATAAAAACTGCACGTATACGTCTTAAAAGTTAAGCAAACTCAACTCCTCATCGAGATCTGTTTAGGTAGAAAAAAACATTTTACATTTACAGATCAGAGAGATGAAATTTAAATTTTTATTATTGCATTATTCCAAAATTTTAACACATCAGAAGATGGCTATTAATATCAACAACTAAATTAATTAAAAAAATTAGTAATTAATGTATAATATTATCCACAACTATACGTACAAGAATGTCGTTTTTGATAAAAGTTAAAAAATAACCATAAATACGTAAAAAAATGCCTATATTGTCCAAAATTCCTTTTCCTATAATATAGCTATTTGTGCTATGTTATAATGTTTATTACCTAAACAATAATAATACTGAATATTTTTTAGACATTAACATATATTTAATCACATCTCCTAAATAGATGTCGCAATCTGTTCATCAATATATTTTAAGTTCTTATTTGCTTGAGCGGAAAAGTGATCAGAATTTCTTTAAAATAGATAGATAGATAGATAGATAGATAGATAGATAGATATTGGCTAAGACCAATCGATAGTTAAGATTAAATAATTAATTTTGAAGCAAATGCTGTTCTACCTTGTAAAAATTTAATAGATCTCAGTATTTACATTAGTCGAACTATTGTCCTCATCTTTGTCGCCATATTTGTCACAACGTTTCGGCCGTTGTACGCTCCGGCCTTCTTCAGGTCGTTGGAATTTCGACTAATGTAAATACTGTACATAATACCTCATCTCAGAAATATAGACAGACTTTAATAGATCTTTCATCGCTGCCTAAAAAAAAAAAAAAAAAAAAAAAACAGATACAAATTGAATGCGAGCCCCATTGGACAAACAGCTTAATAATCCAGATAAGCTTATCATCCGGATTCTGATGAATAGAACGTATAGCAGAATTATGGAGAAAATAGGGAAAAAAGCAGTGTGGCTTCGTTAAAAACACAGAAACAATAAATGCGATCATTGTGATTAAAACGATACGAGCAATACAAATGTAAAAAGAGCAATATAGCAGACTACTTAAAAAAAGAGCGATATAGCATAGACTATTTAAAAAAGAGCGATATAGCATAGACTATTAAAACGTTTGATAAACCACGATACAAAGATCTATTTGAACTACGAGGGAAATTGATTTCAGAATAATTTGGAACATTTACAGGGAACAAACTGCCTGCATAGGGATAGAAAATGACCTGAGCGAGTACGCAAAAATAGAAAAGAGTGGAAGACAAGGATGTATCTTCTCACCAGATTTATTTTACCACGATAGTGAGACTTATCCTAAAAGAAATAGAAGTTCTACCAGGATTTATTATTGGTGGGCACAATCTTAACAAAATAATATAAACCAATGACACTGTGCTTGTTGGTAGACACAGAAAGAAAACTACCGGAATATCTAGTGAAGGAAAGCGAGAATAAAGGACGACAAGCCATCGATTGTAAGAAGACAGAATATATAGTCATTAGAAAGAGTGACGGCCCAAGATGTAAGCTACGAATTAGAGATGTCAGAATCAAGTACAGAAATAACAAATGGTGGATAACGTGGTACTGAAATCCGAAGGCATTTTGGAAGAGCAAAAGTTGTCTTCAAAAAGTTAAGCAAAATATTGAGAAATAGGAAAATTTCTTTAGAAACAAATAAAAGGTGCTGAACTACTGTGTAATATTAATCCACCTATATGGCAATGAATGCTAGATAATTTCCGAACAGATGAAAAGAGACTTAGGACAACAGAAATGAGGATCTACAGAAGGATGCTGAGAATACCACGAACGAAATATGTGAGAAACGAGAAAGTTGTAAGTAAAATGAGAACAAAAAGGACACTTGCATTTAGAACCAGAAATAGAGTGTGTAAGTTTCCGAGGCACATAATGAGGAAAGAAGGCTTGGGGAAATTTTGTGGATCTACAGAAGGATGCTGAGACTGAGGATACCATATATGGAACATGTGAGCAACGAGGAAGTTTTAAGAAAATATTGAAACAAAGGGTATACTTGTACTTAGAATCAGAAAAGACAGACAAACTTTCAGTGATGCATAATGAAGAAATGGCTTGGAGAATTTGATACTCACAGGACCCATTGAGTGGCAGAGGGAAACATCGAGTAACCTATCATGTGTAAATAGATGTCAGAATAGAAATTGGGAGGAATAGTAAAGGAGCAAACTATGCTTAAGGCTACAAAGGATAGGCAGTTGTGGAGGGCCATGATTTACTATATTATGTTTTGAAGGGACACGGCATATAAAAGAAGTCTTGCATAAGACAACAAGTGTGTGACACCCAGCGAGTATCGAACATTACAGTAGTGATGGTGTGCGATATTAGCTTATTAACCATTGCTGAAGTGTGAGGCGCTTAAAAGTATTCCAGCGTTTAGCTAAGCTTTGAATTCTGCTGAACACAGCGATGATCAGTCTTACTTCTGTTAATTAACCATTGTAAAGCTAAGCAAAGTATTAAGAAACAGGAAAATCTCGATAAAAACAAAGAAAAGAGTACTGAACACTTATCTAATATCAGTCCTCCTATATGGTAGTTAAAACTGGACAATCCCATTACAGATGAAGAAGAGATGTGAGGCAAAAGAAATGTGGTCCTACAGGAGGATACTGAGAATATCATGAACCAAAAAAGTGAGCAACGACGAAATTTTAGAGAAAATGAAAACAAAAAAGGACACTTATATTCGTTGAGTCCTAGAAGAAATTTATATCTTACAAGACGTTGGATTTTATCAGGCATCTTTTCGAATCAATCAGAAAAGAGGTATATCGCTGTCTAATAAAAACAGTTCATTAAACTTTTTGCCGCCAATCTATATGCATAAATAGTCGAAATTCTCCTTAATTTATTAGTGGTTCTACAGAAGGATACTGAGAATACCATGAACCAAACATGTGAGCAACGACGAAATTTTAGAGAAAATGAAAACAAAAAGAACACTAATAATATTCATCAGAAAAAGACAGTTGCCATTTCTAGAGCACCTAATGAAGCAGGAGGAATTAGAAAATTTGATACTCACAGGAAGATTGAAGGCAATAGGGAGAGAGGAAAACAGCTCATAATTTGCCTAACGAGCTTGTGGAAATGGTTGACAGAACAATGTTTAGGAGAGATAACAAAAATACAAACTTTACTAAGAGCTACAAAGGACAAGAAATCGTGGAGAGCTATGATCGATCACGTTCTGAAGAGACAGGGCACATAAAAAAAAGAAGAAAAACGTGGTAAGAATTTGTTAGTGAATAGGTTGTTTTTCTTATGCACGTCGGCGGTCACCAAAATGTTGTAGAAGTTCACTCACATCATAACAGCAGAAATTAGCCTTGTGTTCACGGAGATAAAAGCATACTTGACAGGAAATAAAACGTACACAAAGAACAGGAAAAGCATGGTAAATTGTATGTTAATTTCATACAATTTATTTATATTCTTTCACTTGTAATTGGTGTGTGTATTTTTAGGTTACAATTGTTCTACGGTACATGTGATAAAAGAGATGTCCGTGATATTACAAACCATATCACAAAATGAATTTACACACGTGTTGCCTGTACCAAGGTTCGTGGCGAAGAGATTGAATTTAACGTCTTTTGCTGGGATGTCCGTATTTCCGACAAGAATCGTTTTTGTTACATGCTGGGATTATTTTTATTATTTTTAATTTAATTTATTTTATACAACGTTTTTTGTTTTATATAATTTATAATAATAATAATAATAATAATAATAATAATAATAATAATATCCCTGTAACCTATACTACTAGTCAATTATGAGCAAAATTAAAAAGCCACAATTCTTAAAAAGATAAGCTCTTTTCGTTTTTTGTTCATCTTTTCTTTTAATTAATATATAAATTGTAAGGCGCTAAAACATGACCGTGTCTTGAATTAAACGAAAAAAATATGAAAAAATATCAGTGTTCGTCTGGCCTATATGAGCAGAAATTATGGCAGGGAAATATCCGAAAGCAAAGATTTTTTTGTCGACTAAATTAAAAGAAAAAACTCAAAACATCCGTCTACAGAAAAAAGATAAGGGCAGATGTTTTTATAAGCAAAATCCATGGACATCACTTTAATTAGTTTTTTTTTTTTTTTTTTAGGGCTCTGAGAGGATGTAGCTGGTTTAGTGGATAGGTTGGGGTTCAAAAGGTTGGGTCGGCGACCGATCGCCGTTAAAATAATGTTATTATCCACAGCTGCGAGGATGAAAACAGCGAAACGGAGTGGCAAAAAAACGTGTTGTCCGACGAAAGATCTAGTCAGATTGTTTTTCTAGGAAATACCTACGCGCATTTGTAATTTGCTTCAGACTTCATCGTCAATAGTTCCCCTACTCTGAATCCCAATACCAAACTCCAGAGACTGCTTTTTACTCAAGTTCACTCTATATATTTAACCACTTTCATAGTTGGGAATTTTTAAAAAAATCTTTATTTAAGGGCCATAAGTATATTTATTCCCTGCCTACGATTTCCACATAAAAAGTGTTTCGTCTCGACCTGTTTATATATATATATATATATATATATATATATATATATATATATATATAAAGTGAACATTGAAGTCAACACTTAGAGACGACAGGTTGTTTCGTGCTAGACGCAATCGTCAGGCTGACGATTGCGTCTAGCATGAAATAGCCTGTTGCCTCTGAGTGTTGACTTCAATGTTCACTTTTATATTTACACACGCTCTATCTCAGATATTGAGCACTTTATCCCATAAATATAGCACACCTTACGAGTATATTTCTTCATATGTTTGCAAAATATGGCTATTTAAGCCGCAAATAGTATCAATACATGAAGAACACGGAACACAATTGAAAATTAAAAGGAATGTCATATACACAAATACTATAGAAATAATAGTTCTTGTTGCAAACAAATTGTTCTGTTTGCGGCTATATTATAATGAAACAATATAAGTCCACTTAACTGAAGTCCTTTCATTTTGTAGAATGGTTTCGTTTCAAAGACGATTTTGACGTCCTGTGTTTGGCAGATCTGGACAGAAAAAAAGAAGAGTGAAAGAACAGAATAGCGTTCTTTATAACTGGCGCCAACATATTCTGGCTAGTAATTGGTTGGTTGACGATATACGTGATCTTAGAGAGTGCAGTTTACCAAGGGCGACAACTCACGTAACATATTTTTCTAATAATAATAATAATAATATATATATATATATATATATAAAAATGACCATCACGTTTACCTTGTTATTTTTATGTGGCGCTATGTGAAAGGACATGTCTATATCCCACTCTTCCTACAAGCCTAGAGGAACTTAAGCGAGAAATCACTGTGACGCTGGAGAATGTTACGCAAGACATGCTACATTGTGTTTCGCAAAGGCTGGACTACTGACTTGTGACGTGTCACTGGTGCTGCGCATATTAAAAATTCGTGAAGCTTTATGAAATCGTTTATAAAATCTACATCCCTTTGAATAACTTGTTCGAATTTCAATAAATATTTTATT